CACCCAGGACTCATTGCACATTTAGGATTTAGGCTTGGGGTGATGCGGTAGGCAAGTAAGCGCTTGTCGAGTCCCGGGGTGCGGATGGATTTTTTTCAGTGGGTGTGGGAAGGACTGCAGGAATAGCAGTTGACACCGGGAACACTGGCGGACGAGATTGTCAGCGGGTGTCGGGTAAACTGGCGGAAATTGCGGTTGACACCGAAAACGCTGGCAGGTGAGTTAATGAGCACTATGATTTGTAACCGCTGGGCCAAGACGGCTAGTTGCTTCGCATCACTCCAACAACCGACGAAGGGCAGAGGGACGACTCTTCCTTGAGTGGGGTCGTTCCAAGAAAGCTACGAAATGTTTTAAATGATTCTTTCTCTGGCCGGTCTTGGCTGTGACAGCAAGACTTTTAATAAGTTATGTCGCGTCACGACCTGGCCGGGGATGAGGCGGTAGATATTTAGGTGGCTTGCAGCTGTCCAGCTTGCCTTGAGGCGTGAACGGTTTAAGCGGGCTTGCTCACTGAGCTGCTGCCCCCTCTGAAGGCCGATAAGTCCCTAGAGCTCTTCTGCACGTGGACAGAACGGGACGCTGACACTTACATCGGGTAGCTCACGGTATATGTAGTAGTTGCGGAATGCGGGTGTAGTATATGGCCATCCTGCCACAGGCTTTATATTCCTTCGCTTGCGCAAAAGATGGACTAGGTTTACACCATCGTTACCTGTTCTAAAGGAAACTCGCGCGTTGAGCAACGCAGCTAGTGGTTTTGCCGCATCTCTTGCTCCGGGGTGAGAAGGGCACCCGAGGTCTAAAGACGCGACCGTCGTGTCTTACTGCTATTCTTACTCGGCGAGATAGAAACGAGGAGGCTTGCCCGGTTCACATCGCTGACTTGAAAGCATACTACCGTTGTCGCGATGGGGAAGACGTATTACATGAGGTTGCGGCAGGACACAAGAAATCCCCTGTTCTTGGCGACTTAGGAGCGAGCTTTGGAATGCGGACTTGCTGAGTTAGCCGCATGGTGCATGAACCCGTCAGCAAGCAATTTGGCGGTGGAGGCTAGGGCCACTGCCACAATCTGCGGCAGAGAATTTGTTTGTTTTGTGTTGTTTTAACACTTTGTTCTGCGCAGAATGGCTTCTTGGAAAGACGGCCTCTAAAAAGAATCCCACCGATCGGGACCCACGATGGGGGCCATTTTAATGTGGGGTTCTTTATGGAGGTCGCTCTACTAATAATCACCGCCCCATTGGTATGCGACCCGTCTGTCACCCAGGCAGTTACATAACAACAAGAAGACCGCGAATGAGTTTACTGCATTTCACGGTTGCCCGTCGTTCAGAGCCGGCAGTCCGGGCATGCCGACCGTTGTTGTCGCCCGTCATTCAGAGGTCACAATCGGAGTTTGTGTCCAGGCCTACGGATGGTCCTTCCCACGCCAGCGCTGCGTAGGCTGGCTGTCCCGGGCTATCAATGCCCGAGTCTCGCTGCGGAACCACCCCGGGATCGTCATAGCCCAGGTCATATGGCCAGGGCTCGCTGGTGGACTGCTCCAAGGTTCGCCATGGGCCAGAAAAGCAGCCCGGCTCCGACGTTCCCGGTACCAGCTTCAGCCTCGCTCAGTTCGCACTCCTCGCACCAGCTCGTAAGTTCTCCGCCGACCGACTGTCACGTGCCCCCTGCCTCGTCTTTCACCCTCGGCTCCCACACAGCGCAGCTGCGCGCTTAGGCAAAAAGCACACCTTAAGGCTAGTATGGTGCATCTGTGCCTGGTGTCTAAAAATACGCAAAAATTTGTGATCGTTGATATTACATTGTAGTGAAATCTTCAAAATTTAACTGTGGCTATTATGCAAGGGTATACGTTAGGCAGCGATGTTCTAAAAGCCTGTGTTCATTATTTGTGCTTTTCCTTTAAATTAAGAATTGAAGAAAAAGTTTTCGTATAGGAAGAAGATATATAAATCCCCTCAATTAGGTATGACTGGGTTCCTTTATAGGTTAATTTTATGTCAAATCAGTCATTTACTTTATCCCAATGTAGGTACTGGACGTTCTGAGGCCGCAGTCTATAAATATTGCTAGATTAAATTTAACAGAGCTCATGAGTGGGCAATTAGGAACAACCTTCGCGAGTCCAGCTGAATTTTTGTTTAAGCATGGTGTAACAGTAGGAAAAGGCGTGGCGAAAGGTGCATAAAACTCTTCAATATTCAATTCAAAATTATTCGGCCAAAACCACTGTTCACTTTGAATTTGCTTCAAACCCAACAAAATTCATTATTTGCACATGCCTAACGAAGAGTTGTCGGATTTTGTGAAAATGGTGCTCACATTGATATCACTGAATAGCTAGCGCTACTCGTGATCGGTTAGAGTAGCTATGTGCTCCGCTTAGCGGCGGGTTCTATGAACAGCAGCAGGTTAAATACTTGCGAGGGCAGTGTCAGACATGTTCAACACAGAAGTGTCCGTTTGATGTCGAACTCGCGGCAATTTTGTCACCGTGATACAAACTCTCTACAAAGTAGCCCAGAACATCTTTTTACGTCTAACACAGATTGAAGACACCATCAGTACTAATAAGTTAATTGAGACGTCTACAAAATTGCCGGCGTATGATTGTTCAATGGATAAATAAAAATGTGTACAGGCCAGGTCTTCTGTAGGCATAACACTTTAGTCTCCCAATGCTCCAACCACTGCAGTTCTTTCTACGGGCTAACTTTTAAAGAGATTGAATAAAAGTTTTTGACTCGAAAAGTGAGAATGTCTGCTCAAAAACCAGTTTTTGCCTGCTACAAGAGCTTCAAATCACCACTTGTCAGTTCCACCATTGCAGTTACCACTTGCTTTAACTTAATTTATTCTAACAGTGCTGTTTGTTTTATCTTTTCAGATCGAGCATCGCTCAAGGCAGGTGTTTTCTGTGACCTAATAAAAATACAACAGGTTTGATTTTGCATTTTACTTGTCATTTTATTGGCTGTTCTCCTTGGAGTTAACTTGCAGTGATCCTGTGGCAGTCGAAAGTATGTAATAGTTTCTCTGGCAGCGCTGCAATCTGGTTAGCCTATCCTATCAGCTCGGCAGTGATCACAATCACACCTTCCATCAGGTATGTTCCATCAAAGACCACCACAATACGTTCCATCAAAGACCACCACAATACGTTCCATCAAAGACCACCACAGTACGTTCCATCAAAGACCACCACATACGTAATTTGGGACATTCCATCAGTGGCAGTCAGACGTCGTCTGATGGACCATCAGGGCACGTTCCACCAGGGCTGCTGACTGGCAGTCAGTGTCCCAAATTACGTACCTTGATGGAATTTTCAATAGGGAACCCATGGGTTAAAGTAATTCACCCACTTTTGCTGCACAGTACGGGGTAGCATGATGGTGGCACGAGGAGTGCCTGCTCGGAGAACAGAAATGTACTCCGCCTTGTCCGCGACACCGTGATGTTCCCAAAACTGCTCCATGGAGTCATAATTTGTCGTTTCCAGGGCCTGATGCATGGCCTCGTACTTGTTTAGGAGGCTCTCGATTTTCTTCTTCTGCGCTTCATTGTCCACAGTGGGGAAAGGCACTACGACCATACATTCATCGATGGGCATAAAAGGCGCGTTAAAGCGGCATCTGGTGGTGTTGTGCTTGTAGCAGGTATGCGTGTGTTGGTGCACCTGAGTCCGCTCCCGCTTCAAGCATCCGTTGTCGATGGAAAGCAGAACGTTGGCTATTTCAAGAGTCTGGGGCATGAGCATCGAGAGCTCCTCGTTGGGCGCGTTATGAAGCCAAAGGAGAATGTGCGCGTGTGCCGACCCGCGGTGCTGAAATTCGATCCGCTTATAGTAGTCGACGACTATGTACGGCCTAAAAGGCGATACACGGGTGTTGCGGAGAATGTTGAGAATGACACGCACCAATCGGTCGAAATATATGGCACAGACCACGGGATCGTCATTTACTAGCTGTGCTCGATAAATGCTGTTCATTTGCTCCAGTGGTACTTCGATCTCGCCGGGCTTCAACCGAAGGCGTTGAAGCAACTGCAAAAGGTCGGGCCAGTGCATTTCCGAGGCAGAAAGAGTGAGGAACGCGGTCGGCTTACCCAACTGCCGTATCATAGCAAAGAGGTCTTTCTTGCGTTTTGTCCAGTACTGCACGGTGTTGGGAATACCATGCATGAAAGCCATGTCGTGCTCGACCGCTTGCTGCACAAAATCCTTGTCGAGCAACTGTTGCTTCGTTAGTGTTTCCAGTGCCTTTATGTTACGGAAGGCCACACACATGTCACCGGCTACTCGGTGCCTAAACACTTTCATGGCCATGTACAGTACGTGCTGCGGGGTGGCCCCTCGACGGTCTGATCTGCGGATCTCACTCATGGCGTGTGTGAAGACTGTCGGTTTTGCGCTGGCATCTACTCGGCGCGGCTCACCGAGATAGATCTGTGGGAACGAAAGCTCCTCTGAGTGTTCGTCATAAAGTATGCTCACGGGCCTTTTTCCCTCACCTGGCGCAATCGCTAGAAACTTGTCTTCGTCCCATACGAGAGTGTGCTGAGCCAGAGTCATGGCTGTAGCCACTTGGATCGGATCGTTGAGGTCTGAGCATTGCGGGAGCAACTCGATCTCGTCGTGTTCGTCCACTTCTACGATATCGCCCAAACGGGCAAAATCACACTTTATATTATAATGCTTGTACAGCGTGCTATCACACAGCAGCTTAAGCCACGGCAGCAGATCACATTTTTTTACTGCCCCTGCCAGGTAGGTCGTCTTCGCAAGCATGCGCCGCTTCAAATGTACATTGAGGGCTCGGTCTTGTTCGATGGCACGAGGTAACATTGTCACCATGTCGTCCACATCAACACAGACGTTCACTACTGGTCCCTTAATGCCGTGTTGACCTGCACCGTGCATCAGCCGTCGCAGTTTCATGAAAGGAATTCGTGGAGATATGAGTCTCTCACTCACCGCGTTCAATTGTGGGAGGTGGGCTGGCTTCGGGGGATATACATAACCGTTACTTGAGGAAAGATGAGGAATATGACCCTTGTGCACTGATTGTATGCAGGTCGAGCACAGTTTGAATTGGGTTAGGTCCGAGTTTGGAAATGATTGCTCTAGGGTCTCGTGACATCTGTCCGGTAGCGGTTGCAAGTCGTTTTGGAACCAGAGCCGGTCACAGACTGAACATACGCTCCCAAACGGGTTGTCTCTAAACAGCCGTTGGAAAATTTTTGTTGCACCGTCAGGCTTAGCGATCCTTGCCTTTTGCTTGGCTTCCGCTTCGGCGGCGCTCACTCCTGGCTGCTCTCGGCGGCGGCGATGAGCCTCTGCCTCGGCGTCGCGCACTTCCGGGTCCTCTCGATAGCGGCTTCTGGCTTCCGCTTCGGCGGCGCTCACTCCTGGCTGCTCTCGGCGGCGGCGATGAGCCTCAGCCTCGGCGTCGCGCACTTCCGGGTCCTCTCGACGGCGGCGCTTAGATTGAGCTTCAGCAGCGCTCACTTCTGGCTGCTCTCGGCGGCGGCGATGAGCCTCTGCCTCGGCGTCGCGCACTTCCGGGTCCTCTCGACGGCGGCGCTTAGATTCAGCTTCAGCAGCGCTTACTTCTGGGTGCTCTCGGCGACGGCGATGAGCTTCTGCTTCGGCGTCGCGCACTTCCGGGTCCTCTCGATAGCGGCTTCTGGCTTCCGCTTCGCCGGCGCTCACTCCTGGCTGCTCTCGACGGCGGCGATGAGCTTCTGCTTCGGCGTCGCGCACTTCCGGGTCCTCTCGATAGCGGCTTCTGGCTTCCGCTTCGGCGGCGCTCACTCCTGGCTGCTCTCGACGGCGGCGATGAGCTTCTGCTTCGGCGTCGCGCACTTCCGGGTCCTCTCGATAGCGGCTTCTGGCTTCCGCTTCGGCGGCGCTCACTCCTGGCTGCTCTCGACGGCGGCGATGAGCTTCTGCTTCGGCGTCGCGCACTTCCGGGTCCTCTCGATAGCGGCTTCTGGCTTCAGCTTCGGCGGCGCTCACTCCTGGCTGCTCTCGACGGCGGCGATGAGCTTCTGCTTCGGCGTCGCGCACTTCCGGGTCCTCTCGATAGCGGCTTCTGGCTTCCGCTTCGGCGGCGCTCACTCCTGGCTGCTCTCGACGGCGGCGATGAGCTTCTGCTTCGGCGTCGCGCACTTCAGGGTCCTCTCGACGGCGGCGGTTAGATTGAGCTTCAGCAGCGCTCACTTCTGGCTGCTCTCGGCGGCGGCGATGAGCCTCTGCCTCGGCGTCGCGCACTTCCGGGTCTTGTCGACGGCGCCGTTTAGCTTCAGCTTCGGCGGCACGCACTGCAGGATCTTGGCGCCGGCGGCGCTGAGCCTCTGCTCGGGCAGTGCGTTTAGCAGCAGCTGCTTCATCTGACTCGCTCATTTTGTGAGAAAGAACTGCCTGATTACGTCTCGTCGTCGTCGTCTTTGTGATATCACTCATGCTGGATCACGGCGCCGGCGGTGCTGACCCTCTGCTCGTGCAGCACGTTTAGCAGCAGCTGCTAAAGCCCCTCCATCCTGACAAAAGTGGCTGCATTGATTGTTGTGGGAATGCTGGAGACACGTGCCGTGCACCAATTCTGGGAAGAACATGGCCAGTGTAACATGGCATCTGAAATCTAGTTTGAATATGCACTGTGCCGCCATGATCTTTCCAAAGTCTGCACGTTGCACGTGCCTTGTGCATCGACGCACCGTGCGCTACTTTTAAGAAATGAACGCACTTTAGCAGCTTTTAGCTTCTCTTTGTTCTATTATTTTTCTGCTGCAGGGTTTTTCAACCGTGCAGCAGGAAAGCCGAAGCCGGCCGAGGGATAAGAGATAAGAGTCTTTTAAAATAATTTTTCGGAGAAATGAAAATTCGGATTTGTCCGCCCTGCTCATCCTCCCTGCTCCCCTGCGTTCTCCTCTTCCCCTCGCGGGGGCCACGTGATCTCGGGGGGGGGGGAGGGGAGGGGGTAGTCACGTGACCCTCCCGAGGCCACGTGACCCCCCGCTGAAGTCAGGTGACCCCCTCCCCCCGAGGTCAAGTGGACCCCCTCCCGAACCATACTAGACAATGAGGGGAGGAGGAGGAGGAGGGGGAGGAGGAGGGGGAGGAAGAGGAGGAGGGGAGGAGGAGGGGGAGGAGGAGGAGGGGGAGGGGCGCGGTTACGCCGCAGAGGCTGGAAACGGGTCATGTGACCCCCTCCCGCCGAGTTCACGTGACCCACCCGGACCATACTACACAATGAGGGGAGGAGGAGAAGGAGGGGGAGGAAGAGGAGGAGGGGAGGAGGAGGGGGAGGAGGAGGAGGGGGAGGGGCGCGGTTACGCCGACGCCGATGGCGACGGCGACGGCGACGGCGACGGCGACGCCGACGCCAACGGCGACGCCGCTCAGGCTGGAAACGGGCCCCTAAGAGCTGCGCTCTAAAACAAAAAAAAAAAACGCTTAGCTGTTTGTTATTTTGTCGTCCGGTTTTCTCCGCATTGTCGGGTTCGTAAAGTCAAATCATTGCTATTTTGGAATTTTGTTGTGCTGCCCTGAGATTGTCGTCGAGTCCTTGACACTCAAAGGGTAGGGGAACTTTAGTTAAGCCGCCTGCATTCCCCGAAGCGAGGCCAGCGTCTTTCGAGGTCAGGATTTCGCGGCTTTTATGACGTCGGGAGCTAAGCCATTCGCACCTGCGAGCCTGAAGAAAGGCTTCGGTTACAAACGTGGCCGAGTTTAGAGAGGGCTGTTCGAAGAGCCGGAGCCGGAGATGTGTTTTTCACGCAGTCCACGGACAGCCTCGTCTTTTTCGTTTTGCTTCGGTATGTTGTGGGCATGCACCACCCCTCGCCGTAGTGGATTGTCGAAACGAAACACACACACAAAAAATACTGACATTGGAAAAGCGGAAGGGGTAAAGGGGGACAACCATGAAACTTCGGCGGTGTTCCGACCCTTCAACACCCAACACCCCGTCCCTAGCTACGCCGCTGGTGTGCAAATATGTTCGTGTTTTCCAAATAAAATTGAGCTGCCGGTAGCCGCTCTGAGTTTGCACTACTACTTCTTTCAGTTAGGTTGTTTGTTTTTTCTGGCGCTTCTAAGTATACGTTTGTTGCAGCTGAAGTCACTTCCGGCTAAACTGTAGGTCAAAACCAACATTGTCGTCTACTATCAGTGCCTTGTCACCATGTTGGAGGCAAAAAATGTTCTTCTCCTGACACGAAGTGCAGTCCATAAACCCCTAGTTAGGGTACGAAGCTTTTCTATCAAGATCATAAGTCTACATAACAATCTAAAGCGAAAGTCCCATGCGTTTGGCCGCGACGGGAGGGCGATGCATAGATGCGGACATCAGCGGCCTCATTTGGTGGTCCCTATAGCCTCCGAGCAATCGAGTTTGCCCTGACAGGTCGCGCCATCTATCGCCCAATTTCGAAAGCAATGGGAAGTCTGCCTCGCTGGCCTCGCCAGCTTCGCCATTTGCATCGCTGTACGTACGCGTTGTTTACGTTGGGCGCGTTCTACTTCTGCTACGGTCCTTTGCTCGTGTTAAGTCTGCGTACCAAGTTTCATGGCACCGGTCAAAAGTAAGCACGCCGATAATGAACCCTCTGACGACGAAAATCGCCGTACCAAGACGAAACGGAAGACGTACCGGTACTGCTGTGTGAAGAACTGTCATAACAACGAGGGACTCGGACACGTGAAACTGCACCGCTTTCCTTCGCAACCGTGGGATAAGGAACGGCGTAAGAAATGGATCTCGGCTGTCAGGCGTGTAAAGTGAGTATAACCGTTCAATGGTGTGTTCCAACAAGCCGAAATAATGCAGTGTTCGAGTACGCTGTCGCTTGACGCTTAAAATTGGGTTTTGGTGAAGAACCCTGCGGTCGTACTAAGTATACGGGTTGCTATTCTTGTAGTTTGCTCTCCGAATTCATCGGTGCAAAAAAATATATAACTTAGAAAAACTGAGGCAACCCGAGGAAGACTTCTGCCGCAAACAGAGCGGGGTGAAGGAAATTCGTAACACATTCGAATTGAGACGTTCCTGTTTTTTCGGTTCCTTGCCGCCTTGACGCAGTACTTTGTCACTTTGCGATGTCTTTAATCGACACCAAATTGGTTAAAATGGTCCTACGGAATTTTTTCCCGAAGAAAAGGTGGCTTTTGTGTAAATTTTTTCTGTGTTCATCTGAATTTTTTTTTTCTACTAAGTTTATGAAAACAAGAGTTACAAAAAGATATTCCTTGTGCCGTATTTGAGTCCTTACGAGTGTTAACCTGCAATGAAAATATTAATGTGACTATGTATTTGGATTACTCTTGCAGCACAGATGGCTCAGAATGGGTACCAAACAGCAGCTCCAGGATCTGTTCAGAGCATTTTGTCAATAATGCCAAAAGCAACATCGCAGCCCATCCCCCCGCAGGGGGCACCTGTGAAAGCAGGTGTTTGGAGAGTGGCGTCTCCACGGACCCCGAGCCATGCGGGTTCGCCCGCCCACGTATGGCTGTGCGTGGCTTTCCCGTGTCTGGGGAAAAGGGCATCCTGGTGGTTGAGCCGAGCCCGGGGTAGGTTTGGACCCTCCGGGGCCCCCCGGGCAAGGCAATACACCGCTTCGGCCCCCGCTTCTCATAGACGGGAGTCCTGGTAAGGCCCGGCCAGGATGATTCAGCCTAGTCGCCACTTCTACTATCCCCTCCCTTCTTTTACCTTTGTCTTCTCCTTCTTTTCACTCTTCTCATTTTCTCTTCTTTCCTTTTTTCATTTCCTTTGGCGGCAAGGGCTAACCTTGGGTGGCGACAGACTCCTTGTCCAGAACCACACTTGGGTATAGTACCTGGGCAGTGCTAGTAGCGTAACGTCTCCAGCAAAGCCCTGTTTGTTATGGTGCGTTACCTATTCCCGTGTTGGGCTCCGTGGTGGGCGGCACACCACAGGTTCTGAAGACTCTCCGCCTCTTATGGCTCCCCCCTCCTCCAAACCAAACACGGCGCGTGCCCCTAAAAGGGGTTGCTCCGTACTTACTTTCGAAAAAGCATCCGAACCGCCAAAGTTTCCAAGATTTTTTGTCATTCAAGCTCTAGATGAAGAAAAGCCACTGGCTAGGCTCTCGCCTTTTCTAGTTTCAAAATGTCTTGATGCCATTGTTGGCAAAGCTTTCAAGGCAAAAAAGCTTTCTGGTAACCTTCTTGTCGAGGTTGAAACAGAAGTTCAAAGCAGGACGCTTCTAAAACAGACATGTCTAGGCGAACACCAGATAAAAGTAAGCCCACATCGGACACTGAATAGTGTTCGAGGTGTTATCTCTGAGCCTGATCTGATAGATTACACTGAGGATGAAATTCTGGCTGGACTCCAGAAACAGGCAGTGGTGGCCGTCAAGCGGATCACCATCCGTAAAGACGGGCAGGAGCAGCCAACCAAGCATTTGATCCTGACTTTTGAACTGCATACGCTTCCTACGACTGTTAAAGCTGGTTACCTACACTGCAAAGTCCGGCCTTTTATCCCCAACCCACAAAGGTGTTTCCGGTGTCAGCGCTTCGGGCATGGCTCGCGAAACTGTCGGGGCCGTGAAACTTGTGCAAACTGTGGCAGCAACGACCATGTTGCTGACATTTGTGAGAATACTCTCAACTGTGTTAACTGCCAAGGCAACCATGCTGCTTATGCTAGAACATGCCCACAATGGAAGCGGGAAAAAGAAATCCTAACCCTTAAAGCACAAAAGAATATTACCTACCAAGAGGCAAAACAACAGTATTCCTTTTTCGCAAAAGGAACGTTTGCGCAGGCGGTGCAGAGGGGACAAGCACCGCGAACAGAATCGAAGGCCACTCAGGTCTCTCCTGAGGTCCTGGCAGTGGCTCTTCAGTCCCCAACCCCCCAGCAGTGGCAGCAGCTTCCCCTGGTTTCTGGAGGAAGCGCACCAGCTGCCTCTCGACCACGGGACAGGCAGGGAGCCCCCCTAGCTGTCTCCACTCCAAGGTGTCCCCCCAGGGAGAAGGAGCGAGAGTCTCGCCCCAACTCACGGGAGAGGGCCTCGTCTAAGGAGCGGCATCACGCCACTCCTTCAACAGCTGAGGGGCGGGGACGGATGGAGTTGGGCGACGTTCAGCCCAGCACCTCCACTGCTGCCCCTTTGAGTGAGGGCGGTCGTGGCCGGGGAGTCCGGCCCCGTACCTCGACTTTGCCCAAACCTACACAACAAGCCTCGTCTCAAGAGGTGGAGGCGAGGGACGAGGCCACCGAGCCTTCCGCTCTTTCGTCCGATCAGGACGATATGGAATGGGAGATTTCTAAAACAAAGAAAAAAACGAAAAAACCAGTAATACCTCCAAAGTAGTTTCCTCTGGGAACGTCATCCCAAGACCAGAGTAGTTGATTGTATATTTATACTTGCATCTCTTTTACATAATAATGCCTCCACTTGTTCTACAATGGAACTGTCGAGGTCTTCTTGCAAACTATGATGATATTACTGATATACTAGAGGAACACAGTCCCATTTCCCTCTGTTTGCAAGAGACTCACCTAAAAGAGAGTCACACAAATGTCCTCAGGCATTTCCAAGTGTTTCGGAAAGATCGGCAGCATTCAAGCCATCCATCTGGAGGTTCTGCTGTCGTTTTGCAACGCTCTGTACCATGTTTGGAAGTACCCTTAAACACTGAACTAGAGGCCGTTGCCACCCGTATACTGACTAACCGATTGATTACTATTTGTTCAGTATATATACCTCCAAACTACCAGCTTAAATATGAGGAACTTGAATTACTTTGTGATCAGCTTCCTTCTCCTTTTGTGCTTGTGGGTGATTTTAATGCTCATAATCCTCTCTGGGGAAGTGGACGAAAAGATACACGAGGAGCACTTATTGAACGTTTTTTACTGTCATCAGGATTATGTTTGCTCAACTCGAAAGAATCTACACATTTTTCATCAGGAACACGTACATTCACATCAATTGATCTTTCAATTGTGCATCCCACATTATTTCCTTTTCTAACATGGAAAGTCATTCCTAATCCTTATGGCAGTGATCATTTTCCAATTATTTTAGATTTTCACAATCGCCCTATTACAGTCCCAACTCGGACACCTAGGTGGAAGATTGACAAAGCCAATTGGACACTTTTCAAACAATCCTCTGTTTTAGCTATTACATCTCTCCATCAACTTTCTATTGAAGAGGCAGTAGACCATATTACAAAGCACATATTGGAAGCTGCTATGATAGCAATACCCATGACATCCACTCACCTTCCCAAACGACCGAAGCCATGGTGGAATGAAGATTGCCAAAAGGCCAAAAAGAAACAAAACAAAGCATGGGGCATTTTTAGGCGGTACCCTACACCGAGCAACCTTGTTACTTTCAAGAAAATGAAGGCTTCTGCGCGATTTGTTCGCAGGCTGTCTAAAAGACATTGTTGGATGAAGTATTCGTCATCTATAAATAGTCAGGCGACACCAAAGGAGGTATGGGATCGAGTCCACAAAATAAATGGGTCTTACCATGCTTTTTCCATTCCTCTTTTGACAAAAAATGGAATATGCCCTGAAAGCCTCGAAGAACAGGCAGACATTCTTGGCGAACACTTCGAGTTCATTTCCAGCTCAAAGAACTACACGCCTACTTTCCTCCGACACAAAGTACAGGTAGAAAAAAGGTCAGTAAATAGTTCGAGTGGCTATCAAGACCCATATAATGCTCCACTTACGTTGCATGAACTTGAAATGGTTCTTCATTCCCCTAAGCAGACTGCACCTGGCCCAGATGGAATTCATTACATTATGCTACAACATCTTCATCCTTCAACTGTTCAACTCATTTTATATCTTTTCAATAGAATTTGGTCTGAAGGCCACTTTCCAACTTCTTGGAAGGTGGCCTTTGTAGTACCCTTGCTTAAACCAGGAAAGGATCCTTCTAGTGCTTCTAGTTATAGGCCTATTGCATTGACTAGCTGTCTATCAAAAACTCTGGAACGAATAATTAACAGAAGGCTTATGCATTATCTTGAAACTCACAAAATTCTAGACAGGTATCAATGCGGCTTTCGGTCGGCACGATCCACAGTGGACCACCTGGTTCGCTTTGAGACAGCCGTGAGAGAGGCATTTGTGAACAAACAGCACTGCCTTTCTGTGTTCTTTGATCTGGAGAAGGCTTATGATACTGCCTGGCGATTTGGAATCCTGCAAGACCTCATCAACATCGGTATTTGCGGGAGCATGTTCGGCATCATTAAAAGCTATTTAGAGTGCCGCTCATTTCGTGTGAAACTTGGAACAACTTTCTCTCGGGATTTTGTACAGGAAAATGGTGTGCCCCAGGGTGGTGTACTTAGTGTCACTCTTTTCATTATAAAAATAAATTCCATTGCCCGAGTAATACCTCCTTCAGTTCAGTACTCTATTTATGTTGATGACATCCAAGTTTCAGTATCATCATGTAACCGCTCCATATGTGAAAGGAGAGTTCAACTGGCAATCAACAAATTGACGAACTGGGCTGATACCAACGGTTTCAGGTTTTCCACAGAAAAAACTGTGTGTGTATGCTTTTCTCGCCAGCGAGGAATTTTTCAAGATCCTTCATTAACCATTTATGGACTGCCTATAGCTGTGAAGAGTGAACATAAGTTTTTAGGTCTTCTATTTGATTCAAAATTATCTTTTGTTTCTCACATTAAGCAGTTGAAGTTGAAATGCACAAAAGCACTTAATATCCTAAAAGTATTGTCTCATCAATCTTGGGGTTCTGATAGACTGTGCCTTTTACGCATTTATCGTTCAGTGGTTCGCTCCCGTCTAGATTATGGCAGCTTTGTGTATGGCTCAGCTAAAGCATCAGTATTGAAGATGTTAGACCCTATTCATAATCAGGGGCTACGGCTGTCTATCGGAGCATTCCGCACATCCCCGGTTCCCAGCCTTTATGCGGAGGCCAATGAGGTCTCTCTTGAGAAAAGACGCTTTGCTCTAGGATTTATGTATTCACTCCGAGCAAGGTCTGTTCCTCTCCATCCTGCTCATGATTCTGCGGTAAAAATTAGGTTTCAAAGGACTTTCCAAAATAAGCCAAGTTTTGTTCCTCCTTTTGCCTTGAGAAATTCTACAGCAGCAGAACTCTTTGGTCTGGAGCCCAAACCCTGCGTGACACAGCACAGAAACACTGTAGCTCCTTGGGATTACTCCCTCGTCCATTGTGACTTTACACTGACAAAACACAGCAAGAAAGACACTCCGGACGAAGTGCTGAGGCAAGAGTTCTTCGAACTACAGAGCCACTATCAGCACTACACAAGCTTTTATACAGATGGTACTAAAACTGAGTCGTTTGTAGGCTGTGCAATGGTTGGACCATCTGTTTCCAAGGTAAAAAGACTGAACCCCTTTGCCACAATTTTAACGGCAGAGTTGCATGGTCTACTTCTTGCTGTTGAACATATCGTTGAGAAGAGGCTACGTCGCTCCGTAGTATACTCAGACTCTTTAAGCTCATTGAAAGCCCTTGTTTCCCTGAATATCCCCACAAACCCGTTGGTTTCACACCTGCAGAGTAAAATAATCTGTGCGATCAAAAACAAATGTGATATTGTGTTCTGCTGGGTGCCAAGTCATGTTGGCATCCCGGGTAATGAGGAGGCAGATCAAGCTGCGCACTCTGCGGCCACACAAATTGTGCACCTTAAAGAAATTCCCCACAAGGATTATCACAAGGTGGTTAAACATTGCATACTACAGAGATGGCAACATGAGTGGGATACTGAGATAAACAATAAGTTGCATATGGTGAAACAACTCTTGAAGGAATGGGAGAGTGCTCGGCACCGTGAACGATTCTACGAGGTGATACTCTGCCGTCTAAGGATTGGCCATACACGGCTCACGCATGGGCATCTTTTGCGGGGTGAAGATGCCCCACAGTGCGAACATTGCCATTGTCCTTTGACTATACTTCATATTTTAATTGAATGCAATGCGTATGGCCTAGAACGCCGTAACCACTTTTCAGAGCTTTACAAAGAGCATACTCCCCTACATCTGATGATTTTACTTGGCAATCAACCCCTCATGCCACACTCTTGTGTTTTTAACTTTCTCAAAGCAATCGGCTTTCTACACCGACTGTGATTTTACTGTTTTGAACTCATGTCCATTCCTTTTACACTTATACATAGGTCATGTCCATTGTTTTATCCTATCATCTGCTACTAAAGCTCTTTCTTCTCCTTAACCCTCTCCCGACAATAGTTTATGTACTTGGCGCAGTATAGCCTTAGATGCTTTTGCGCCACTAAAACCCAATCAATCAATCAATCGCAGCCCATCCTGCGTACCTCCCCACACTCTTTCCAGCAGTGTACAAGAGGAGTTCAGTGATTCCGCAGGACCAAGCGTCAAGGTTTGACAGGTGAAGTTTTGACCAGCTTTAGTTATAACTTCAGCGGTTATTGTATCATTGAACTTCAGTAGTTAATTTGATATCCTTGTATATTTCTCCGAAAAAGTCACTATTTTTGAATATTTTAATTGCAGATATTTTAATACATTGATTTCGAAGTCAACAACATCTGTACTTAAAGCTAACTGTTATTATGCTACTGCAGTGTTTCTCAAACTTGAGCTGGGGGTCGTGAAGCGCCTCGAGAACTGAAAAGACATATGTACTTGGCTTCTCTGTGATGGCGTGGACGAAAACAAAGTACAGGTCACTGCTCCGCATCGAACCGGAACTAAGATTTGCGGTGTCCAAGATCTGCCCTCGTTATGAGAAACTGCTAAAACAAACAAGCTTGCTCTTGCCATTATAAACAGTCATTCCTCGTGGCTTGCACTATTTTGTGCCAACGGCTTCTTGCCCGGCTGATTCGCTTTTGACCATATTAACCGCAATTGAAATTTGAACACCAATTTTGTAGATTATTGTTTGTACATCGAAATCGAAAAGCCTGTGTCATTGCAAAAATCTGCAGGGGTTCGGGGCACCGCTCAATATTTGATGTTTCTAATGGGGAAGCAGCGTGCTACCGGGTTAGGCGATCGTCCAGCTTATGATCGTGATTTCATGGGCACTGCATGAATAGCTACAGGACGTTCTGTTTGTGACTCGCATCAATCTAATATTGTTTGCAGATGGCATCACAGAGTAGCAAGCAGACAAGCATCGAGTCTGGGGGGTCCCGCTTCATCTTTGACTGGAATCCCAAGCACAAGCAGGGAACGAACTAGCAGCGGCAGCCGAGGTGGGCATGAGGGCCTGCACCTTTTATGTACAGCCGTTGAATTCAGAGAGGAGAGACAACCTTCCGTGGTAAGGCTTTTGCATCAACAAGTGTCAAATGTAACATTAGGATTTGTCAGACCCAAGTCAGTGAGGCGTGGGCACTTCTGGGGGGCACAAGTGGGCTGTTGTTATTTGAACTTAGCTGAAAGCTCTTCATGGTTGTTTTGAAAAAAACAAAAAAAACAACAAATGTGCTCACTGTAGTATTCAAATTTTTTGTTAAAGCGTTCTACACGACATAAATGGTGCCACAAACCAACCACTGGCGCCCGTGCGCTCAGGCTGGCCGCCCCCCAGGGTGCGCAGCCCCATGCTGTTGACCATTAGTAAATCAGTGCGGCTCGAAGTGTCACTCGTGTCAGACGGGTCTCATTCCGGGGCTTTTCTCGCCCCAGGCTCCACCGGTCACCGCCTCATCGGCATGCGAGATCCTCGTCATTTCCGCAGGCCTGCGTGGGCTCTGCTCATCTACTTTATTTTTTGCATTTTTCTTTTTTTGTAATTACTACACTTACATGTTAGGTTCACAACAGGTGTTGAAGCGACACTAGTCTGAAGTCTTGGGGTACACAGTCTTGCTCATTGTTTGTCAACTTGGCTCTTTGTCGCATCACTATGGTATTCACATGGATTATGGGAAACCTCTCTGCTTTTTAGGAAGATCAGACTGATGACCCGGAGATTAGTGTAACAGATGGGATCCTCCAGGACCAAGCATCAGGGCTTGACAGGTAAAGTCTCAAAATAGTTTCAATTATCGCTTCAGTGCTCAGTTTACCTCCTTAGCTCTCTTACCCTTCCCTCGCAGTGACCGAAGTGGCACCTGGCCTGTGTTTCGAATTGTTGATATTTACAATATGCAAACTTATGCAGTAAATATTCCAGTGAGGAAAGAAATTAGACTCCGGATGTGTTTTCTACCGTGATGTTTGACTGCCGACTTAAGCAAGCTGCTTATTAATTTTCATGATGCTTATGCAGCCCAGGCCCAGCTTGGCATCAAAACTCTATCGGCACACAGGATCGGCAGGACGGCCTGCTAGAAAGTGCTGCAGAATCCAGTGAAACAGCACAGCGTTCAGTGGTAAGATTTCTGTATCAACCAAGTTGAAGTTACTAATAGAATTTCTTGAACTCTAATCAGCAGAACGTGGAATTCATAAGGGTACACATACATATTGCTTTTACTGTGGCGTGCGAAAATGCCCTAACAATTATCTAAAATATGTGCAACCAGATATCTAAAACAAAAAACCAACAAATGCGCATGCACATTGTGGTTTACAGGACCTCATGGGACACTACTCCGTTTCACCTTACGTCCGGACGCAGCGGACATAAGGTGAAACGGCCTTGGATTGGCACCGATGGCTCGAAGGATCCGCTGTGCCCGGACATTAGGTGATACCAAGTATAGCGCAAAGACTTCTGCGGCAACGTCTTGTAGATTTAAACATGAGGAAGATACATAGAAAAGGGGGGACAGTTAGTCGCTGAAGCTCCAGTGTTTATTGGGGATGTTGCATTTTTGGGACATCTTTTGCAGTTTTAAAATTTTGAAATAATCTTGTCAATTTCACAATTAAGTCCACCTAAAATAAACACCATGGCATACGCAAAGGGTGCAATCGAGCTGGCGAGTAGGTACATATGCTCACTTTCAAGTAATTGTACATGATTTTCGAAGAGACTGTTTGGTTGTGCTCTACGTTTGCTTTCGGAGCTCTTGAAAAAAAGCCCCTCATTTTAGTTTGCGCAATGCCTGCCAGTGGCAATTTCATGTGTATGTAAAGCAGTACAACGACAACAAGAGACTAGGCAATGGCCTTCAAGGTGCCATTTTACCAGTTATTTGCGTCTATTGAAATACACGGTCTACAATGTCGGACCCGTGATGGCGGCCGCGATGCCCCATCAGTCCGAGGAGATCAAATGCGTCGGAATAGTGCAACAGCACGGATTGGCGAATCATTTGTAGACAAACCTTTCGCTTCGAAACAATACCACAGCTTCTTTGGGCCGTGTTGAGATGTTCATTCCATTGCTCGTCCTGCTTCATCCGCCATGATGCAAGGCAAATCTTCATCTCTTACGCTAGTTCACGTACCGCTAACCGTGACGATCCAGTCAAACTATTCCAGAGTTGACTGCAATTTCCGCACACATTCACAGTTGCATTAATGAATGGGGGGGGGGGGGGAAGGGGGGGAGGGAACCGTTTGCCTCATAACGGCTCACTAGAACTCCCAATTGTTATGAACTTACTCTTTGTCATGCCACTTTATTATTTGCACCAATGGTGACAAATGCATATACTTCTAGGGTTCTCAGACCGACGACATGGAGATCTGCAAGGGGCAGTTTTCGGTCTACATTTCTACCCCGCAAGATGGCAACGGCTCAACACAGATTACACACCCCAGGGTGCCATCTGTGTCGTCACGGCAATCTGGTCCTGACCAAAGAACAGGGTGCTTCCAAGGCTACGAGAGTGTCCGTCATTCTCCTACGTCATTGGAGGACTTGTGCAGTGTGACCACAACCGTGTTTGCCCTGCTTCTGAGCATGCTTCCTGTAGGTTCAGAACGATCGGTGGACACATCAATGGCAAACAAGCTCCTCTTGTTTCTGATGAAAATGAAACTAGGGATGAGCTACTCATCACTTGCAGTGTTGTTTTGTATACACCGCACCACAGCATCACGGCATTTTCGTACTGTGCTTGCATCACTGTCTGCTGCAACTGAAAAGTGGATTTTTCGCCCACCATCTTCAATCATCCTGTCCATGCTGCCCCAGTGCTTTAAGGCACACTACCCAGAATGCAAAATGATCATTGATTGTACCGAAGTTCGCACAGAGGAGCCGGGCTCTGTGGCTCAACACCGTGCCTTGTATTCTGCATACAAATCAGGGTACACTCTGAAGTTTCTGGTCGCAGTGACTCCAAATGGGATGATTTGTTTTCATTCCAAGGCCTATGGCGGACGCTGTTCCGACCTCCATATTACTGTAGATTCCCAGTTTTTGAACTTGGTTGAGCCAGGTGACGTGATATTAGCAGACAAGGGCTTTCCGGGTATTAAGGCTAGCGTAGAGGGCAGTAATGCTGTGCTTGTCATGCCTCCTTTTTTTTCAGGGGCTGGGCAGTTTAGTTGCCAAGAGGTAGAGGAGACGTACAACATTGCTCAAGTCCGTATTCATGTGGAGCGAATGATTCAACGAATCAAAGTGTACAACATTCTGAACACTCGGGTACCAATTTCCCTCATACCAGTAATGAGCGATGTTTTTCATATGTGCTGCATTCTGGCGAACTTGCAACCTGCCATAATTGCATCACAGCCATGAGCCCGAGACTAAGTGTGAAATCAGGTTGTTTCAAACCTATCGCCGGCTACAGTCTAAGCTCATTATAATAGACCTGGTTACGACAGACACTTGGATATAACATAACATACAGATTTGTAGAGTTTGGTTGGTTTTCCTCTATGCGGCCATTGACTCAACTTCATATCTGCATACAACATACTCCTTTTACAACAGACCGAAATCTTGGTCGAAACCAAGGTCTGTAATAACGAGCTTAGACTGTATACACCTTTTCCAAAAAGGCGCAGCCGTCTTGAATGGCGTCACTTCTGGTATGCGGTGAAACATTGTTTTGATCTCTCCGCACCGCTGGAAGTTGTTTACAAAAAATGCATGATTGTTACTCCTTGTTTTGCCTCACCTATATTTTCTCGCATATTCCAGCTTGAAATGTGCCATTTTTTCGTTCCACCAAGCAGATATGGAACCCACGTAACCACAAGAAACGGAAAACATCTATAGGCCAGGAATTGAATGCACTAACAAACTACATCTGATATTTTGTTTCGAGTCATTGAAATAGACCTGGTAGTTGCCACCAAAATTTGTTTATTTGTATTTGTTTTTGCAATACTAAGAATAAAAGGGCTTCTCAAAAGAATGGCATGAGCTTATTTCATGACAAGCAATACAAGAAAACTCTTATCTATCCTATTTTAAGTACAAATAAGTAACACGGGTTAATACTCCTCTACATGCAAGATGGCACTCTTTATTGAAAAAAATGTCCCCCCTTTTCAGCAAATGACTATAAAAACGACTCGCTTCCAAGTTGATGTTACATGTGATAAAAAACAACTACAAACACACTTGGAGATGGGGAAGATTATGTACAGTACTTCTTAACAATTGCTGGCAAGTAATGAGAAAAAAAGAAGCCTTCCAAGTGCCGGATGGCTGTCTCCAAGAAAACATTGTCTCTCTCCACAGCAACAATTACACTGTCCACACTCGTGTACACAAAGAAAAAGCACTCTCCCAGGTTACAAACGTACATGAGGACTTGAATTTGAGTATAGTACTTGTGAGTGCGCCGTAAACACAGCCTACCCTCTTCGTACACGAGGTACTTCACGAAGGCAATTTCAGCGGTTGAATCTATGACCGCAGAGTCTTTGATGGAGTGCGGACACTTGATCTCAAGGAGAATGGTTCCTTCACCGGTCGCAAAAAGGCCATCAGGGCTGCCACACAGCCATGGCTGCTGGTTGTGCACAAGCAGCCCCACCTAGAATGGACACAGAGCATTTATCACATCTATCAAACAATTAGGAGATTAGAATTATCATACAATGGTGCCACAAAAGTCACATATTGTTTAGCAAGCCGCCTTGCATTTGTAGGCTATTGACACTTCCAAACTTGTGGTCATATACTCAAAGACTATATATAAATGCCGTACCTCCACAACACGGGCCCCGACTTTCACTTCAAATGCACTCCTCGCCACTGGCTCGGTCCGCAAGCCTGCATGGGAAATGTTGGTAGAACCAGGTCTTAAAAGTTCAGAGCACTCCTATTGAAATTGGAATATAACTTGCCATAACGTGTAGCATCACATGAAAACCATTTTGCACCAAGCAGGCTCTTGGAGAGGTCCTCGGGGGTCTTCCTGGATCTCAAAATGGTGTGCGCCATGGAGCTCGTGATTCGCACTTTCCGCTCCTTGTACCACCTGTAGAGGTGTGAAATGCATTTTTATTAGAATTGCAAAAGATAAGGATTTGTTGCAGGCTTCTTATGGCTTGGAGTGTAAATAACAATTGAGTTGCCTTATGCCTGCTATAGCAAAGAAAAAAAATCATTGAAGACACTAAAAGACCTTACCTAGCACACTTCGACTGCTGCAGTGTGGCCATACACAAGCTCAGGGGGCTGGAGCAGACAACATTATTATAAAAAAACGAGGCCTCCAGTCGACTCATGTGCGCCGAGTGGTCGATCGGGGCCACCCGAAGTACGGGATATGTCCCGGTCACCTCTAGGGTATGGTACGCTGGCATCTCTGCACTTGGGAGAAGCTCCAGCACGGTCAGTTCCTCCACTATCCCAACGGCTGCACCCACCATGTCCTGAAGTAATCTCTCGCACTCCAGGTCCACTTGGCACCTGTTCATCTGTTTTAGCACATTTGTGAACGGTGAGTTTATGCCGTCGAAGTGGCTTATAATATAAGCTGGCGGGAAACGAGCTGGTGGCCTCCCTCCAGCAAACACCCGGTCTTCTGAAAGGCAAGAGGTCGAGTGGTGAAGCAGACATCGAATGCATTTAGTTCAAACACGCAAGCGAGTCACGCTAAGAACCAGGGGAGGGGTCTTTGGGGGGCTGCAGCCCCCCTTCCCCCCTCCCCCAAATTGTAGACGGGGGGGGGGGGGGGGGGCATGTAAGCAATTTAGCGAGCGACGAGCGACCTCAACAAGTGATGAGAGTCAGCGACGAGCGACGGAGATTTTTCACTGCCGCTCGTCGCGCCGCTTGATTTTTGGATTTCTAGAAAACGCCGCTTATCGCATTGGTCACTTCCTCCAGTCGCTTTCATGCCGAGCGAAAGCGGGTCCTCGCCGCCGTCGCGTCGCTCGCCAAATCGCTTACATGCGGTTTATGTTCCTGGCTACGCCACTGCTAAGAACACACCTCCAAAAAGTTCACTGATGGGAGCCTTGTCCTTCAGTGTTGGCTTTCCCAACGGCTTTCCCCAAGCTTGAGGAAGACTCGTGCACGTCGCAACTTCATCCTCGCTGACGAACAAGGCGACCGCGGCGGCGTGTTTACAGTCGCCGCGGGCGCCGTAGCGGCAGTTGCAAGTGCTGTCGACGATCTCGCGCGACACGGGATTCAGCTGCATAAAAAGAAATAAATCATAGAACATTTGCTGCAATTATTTAGCAGCCGTTATCAAATGAAACTGCATTCAATCGTTCCTTTACCTGAATCGTGATGTCGTACATGTTCTTGCCTTGCTGCGAATGGCACTTAGCCGAAATGTCACGGCCATACGTCTCTTTCGCCGCATACACATGCTTGCTTTCGAGAAGCTTTCTACCTTTTTTCAACCCTTGTTCACGAAAAAAGGAGTCAAGCGCATTAATAGGTTTAAAACCGCAAAACAACACGATGGGAGGCATCCTGCCGCTACTGATCCTGACTGAACGACAGCACCGTGCACTCCCGGATGTCCACCCGCCGCGACTTCCCACCGGTTGGTATTATTGCCGCCAGAGGCGCTGACGATCGTATGACAGTGGTGCCACCTAGTAACCTGCTCAGGGGCTATAAGCTCGTTTCGCTGGCGACGCATATGCACAAAGGAGCAGCAAAAAACCACCTTAAATTCTGCACTTTTTTTTTAATTAGCAGAAAAAACATTTGAATTGCGCGTTGACAAAATTAAGTAAAGGTAGGCTGTATCAACTCACTTATTAAAATATCCTTGCCCATCTTCCCCCCCCCCCCAAAAAAAAGAAGTGGGTAGGGGAAAAAAAAAAAAACCTTCCCCGGAAAAAGAAAAACACAACAACAAAAATCTGCGCCGAGCAGCGTCGAAAATGCGCCGACTAGGGTGCCTACATGTCTGTCTGTCTCAGGGTGAAGACATCTACTGTTGCCCTGAATGTGCCAGCGCGTGGCGCTCTCGCGCACTCAGTGCATAAGTTGGGCGGTAAAATGGCGTCTATGCATTAGGCAAAGCTACGCGCTCGAGCTGAGTGACACCGGATCGGACGCACTTCAAAATGCATAAAAAAACGATCGGGCGGAAAAATGGCTGAGATGTCACCACTCAAGCAAAAGCGCGCGTGTGTATGAAGGCACTCTAGCGCCGACCCCATAGCGGCGCCATCTGTTGACAGCCCGTGATATCGCGAGGAGAAACTAACTCTAGCTACAGTTACTCTAGAGTTCGAGTGAGGGTTAAGGGAGAGTATCATCGAAAGAAGCGGTCGCGAAAGAGTAACTTGGATGAAGATAGGGTTAAAGGAGGGTAACTTAGGGCAGTTACTCTCCCTTGACACCTTTTTTTTTTAGAGTGTGACATTAGCTTCCATGCTGAGGAAGTGGCATACTTATCTGCACCTTAGAGTATATGGCTACTGCGTCATGACAATTTACATTCCTGCTTTATCTTTATACTAGGGATTGTGGTGGTATAAACAAACTGTGTTCTTGTCGAATTTGTGGCTGACTTTGGACAATTAGAGGCGAAAAGAGACACGAAGTGCATGCCTTTCCTTATCGTAGCGACTATCTCTTGCTCAACACTTCTCAACCCTGGAAACCGAAGAAAAAAGCAGAGCAACCCAATCACGGGTCTCCAATGTGTCACGTGATAATTTAAGGAAACTGGATTGGGAATAAATACTCCTAGCTTAGCACTTCAATCAGATCAAGGAATATGCGTAAGGCTGCATTTAGAGGTGAACTTACCCTTCTGCATGGAGGGGCGACAGCCAAGTAGATCGAATTCCGGGTTGCTACGTGACTTAGAACTTCGACAAATTCCAGCTCTAAAATACTGTATGAACCCTTTTTATCACTGGTTCCAAAGCGTCATTTGACTGACTTATCACGAAAGACACCGAGCTGGCCGATGTCATGTCAAAGCGAGCACAAAAAGTTAAGGACTTCTGATAATATATTGCATCAACATTTGTTTGCTTTCTAAGCTCAATCGGCTAATCACATTTGTTTTGTTTATGAATATAACCTAGGCGTTTCTTTGTTAATTCGTTCGAGCGCAAAAAATATGTGTCAATTGTTAGACACTGTAAAAGAAGATATTACTTTCTATATAAAAAGGGAACATTGGTTGTTTTACATTGTTCTTTAAGCTTATAATTCATTTATATCGCGCTATTCTGCAGCATCGGAAAGTTTGACAAATTAAAAACGCTCGCTTTCATATAGCTTGCTTAGGATATTATCATAAACATTTTACAAAAAAGGTTATCGACTCACAAGTGGTGGTGATAAAATACAGCCAAGTTACTAACTGTTTGTGACCTCTTCGTCTCAAGCTCTTGCTGCGTTTGCATTCAAGGTTGCCAAACAACCATGAAGCTGAGCAGCGCGTCCAAATAACATGACATATCCAACATACAGCTTTTCTTGAGGAAGCAATATTGTCCACTGCTTCTTGTTCAATACACACAGGAATGGGCAGCATTTCCAATACAATTATTTAAAATACATGTTTAACCAATCGCCCGTTAATCAACCCGCTTACACTGCCACATTAATTTAATGTACTGGTTCGCTGTTATGCTACAATTTTGGCTACTTTGAGCTCTCCCTAATATTAATTTTTATTGTGCCGGCATTTGAAAAAGTTACAGTAGACTTTTAGAAGACCCACAATATATATTATTTTCTGTCTTTTCATTAATAGCATGTTGCAAAAGGGATATGAGCTTTTATATTGCACCACTGAAGCCGAAGTGTTCAGGCATGTTCTCTGCTTTGTTTTCAGTTCCACTCTGCAATATAGATCTGCAGGCTTACCAAGATACAGATTTTGAGTTAGGGTCGTCTTTATGGTCTGAAAACTTCAGGAGCACAGGTGGCTCGGCCTTTACTGTGGACGGCAAAGACATGTTTTATGCCCCACCACATAACCAGGGGCTTTCCTTGGTGAGGTATTGTATCAAGGCCAATGGTGAACTCGCGTTCAGGAACTTAATGGGTGTGTGTGTCCATTGAAAGTTTTCTAGAGCTTTTATTTTGTACCCGAACTGGATGGTGATCGGCTGGCGAGATAAGTTATATTTAAAAAAAAAGTGTGTTTAAATGGGCGTGTGTCGCCCCGATTCTTCGCGATATTTTTCTTGCAGAAGTGGACAGTCTTGTTGCGCTGCTCTTGAAGCTACCTCAGTGAGGAAGGTGTTTGGCTACGCGGATAAATTTTTGGTCTAGTACCAGCGCGCTGATGGGGTTAATACTAGGGTTAATATGTTATGGCAGTTCTTGAAAAGTGTGTGTGTGGGGGGGATATTTTTACGTTTGAAGAACCTAGTGAAGGGGTTGTCTAGTTAGTGGATGTGTCGCTGTCCCTCAAAGAGAAAGGAAAATATGTTTGCTGGTCCTTTCGTCCGCGATTTAGGAAGGTGATACTTGACTACAGGTTTGCCCACTCATAAAATGCACAAAGGGGTATTGCCGTCTCATACCTTGGGTCGGCTCTCGCGAGGTCGTGCTTTCACTCGATGGGAAACCGTTTCACGGGACAGGTGAACAGACTTAGGATGTGGGAGTTTCCGTGCGGCATTTTCGTTGAGGTAGCAGGGTCTCTTAAAACAACCAAAAGTGTAGAGAAGAGAAATACAGGTACGGAGAAAAGTTGAATGGTGGTAGAACCTCACTTTCATCGGCTTTTCGAGAACCAAAATAGGTCGGAGGTTGGTGCAAAATCTCTGTTGTGCTCTCTCCACAAAAAGGAGCCAGGTATGCTCGATAGTCAGTGCTGGCTCTGAAAAATGTCCGCAAGCTAAGTGCACAAAAATCATTAAAACCGTTTGTTCGTGACCTGTTTATCGGGTGTCGTCTACCAAATAGCCTTGTCGAGTTGAAGATTCTAAGTATACGCTAGAAACGAATCTGTTTGAACGAAAGGTTTGAGAGCCCGCTTACTTCCATAGGTATACGGTCGGGGTACTCCTACCGCTACATTGCAGATATCGTTCATGTCGCCCGTTTTTTGTGACTATATTATTTTAGGGCAGACACCGAGACAGAATGAGTCGAGAGATAATTGAAGGGTTCTTTATTTTTTTGCTGGCAGACAGATGTGTTAGTGACATATTGGCGGCGCTATTCCAAAAAGAGGTAATCTTCGATCGAACAAGAATGCCCATTTGTAGGACGATATCAGCGGCCTCCAGTTGCCAAGTAGGCCTAGTAGGCGTGTCTTTTAATCTGTGCGTGTGTAATCTGTATAAGAAGTGTCCTTGGTTTTCTCTGCATAGAATAAACTGCAGTTGCAGTCAGCCGTCGTTCTGTCCTGTTCGTTTCTTTTTCTTCGTCCGCATTTACTGAGGCTATATTTCATCATGTTTAACTATTACCGACTGACCCAATTACAACCCAATTTCTAAATCAGAATTAAAAGAAAAAACAATAGCTAGTGATACCTCAAGCACAAAACTGACCCGGGCAGCAATTGTTACTAAATTGAACGAAAGTCGCCGCCCTTCTTGTATTGCTCCTGATTTCCTCTGGTTGTTTTGAGTTTTTTTTTTTTTTTTCTGTATCTGCTTGTGTTGATTCTTGGTTGACTGGTTGTGCTCTTTCTCCGCGAGGCGCGGTACCGTCGGGGCCGAGATGCGCCCCGATTGCAAACCGAAACTTAAAAAATCGTCGAATTAATACGGTTTTTTAGAAAGCTCTAAAATGCCTCGCGTGCCTCCAATCGTTCTGCAATTTGTTGATTTAGTGTTTTTCAATCTTGCTGAGCAATGTTTTGATTGAAACCATGCCCTCACCCACAGTATTGAAAAAGTTAATTACGCAAAAATAATCAACAAAAAAGTTAATTACGTAAAAATAATCAACAATCTAATTATCCCTACTTTATTAATTTCCCTAAATAGGCCCCTGGCCCAGGACCAAAACGACACAAGCCTATTTTTGTTGCGACGCGTGCAATATCGAATTTGTCAACTTTTCGTGAAACACCCTGTATATATATATATATATAGTGAGATAGAGGCAGGTCGGTCAGACAACGGTTTTTATCAGGCTGGTGTCTATGGAACCTTTCCCAAGAAAGGTGCCAGCAGACAGATGAAGACGCCGATCGGCCCACCCACAGCCAAAAGTGACGACGACGATGTCCGTGGGCAGTGCTACGCATAAGCGCCCTCACAGATTTCCCCCGGTTGCGGAAAAATGGCCACCTGGCCACAGAGGGAAGGAAGGGGGGCCGTTGAGCGGGGGGTGAAAGGTTTCAGTCGGGAGA